TTAGTAGAGTAAAAATGCTTATACAGAGTGGAGACCGACTGCATTACAAAGAATTATATGCGTTTGTAATTTAACTAACAGCAACAATACAAAGAATTCTAATCATAGAATATAACTTTTACAGCAGAAGACAAAGAATTGCTTTGGAATAATTGTGCAGAATGTCTTGTGACCATGCATCTGTTTGAACAGCAGTGTGCTGTAAAATACAAAGATGCRACTCTGAAAAGCATCATTCACTTTGAGATTACAGGAGAACCCTCCTACATATCAAGTGTTTTTCAAACACTGACATGGAAAACATAAAGATAAAAACAAGTACCATGTACTGCCTGACACTCCCGGTAAAGATCTCTGTAAACATGTTGGAGACATGTTCAGTACTGTTAAACTGGTGAACACAATCTGTCAGATGTTGCTTTTTAACCCACAGGGGTGAAAATGAACATGAAATATTTTTTTCACCTTGACAACATGCTCCTTTTTGTCTTTTTCATTGGCGATCACTTCACTATGGAACACCAAAATGTTCATAATCAACTAAATAAAACATCACAAAATAAGTATTTTATTTAATTTCAGTAGTTTTGATTCCGAAATGTCTTTTTCACGAAGTCATCTTTCATTTCAATATAGTGTTTTCCCCAATTATTTCATAATGACACTGCTCAGCAGAATGACTTCATCTGTCAATCAGCATCTGTGGGTTGGACCTGCACGACCATTGGATGATCCTTTTGCACATTTATTAGTTGCCCTGAATACCTGCACACTGCACAGCTTGCGCAGCTAGCAATGACTTGCTAGGACAAGGGTTATGAAGGATGGCAGAGTGGCACGCTGCGCTAAGTTTAACTKAGCTGCAGCTTTAGTTTGAGCTCCACACTACAGCCTAGGGCACAGGACTACAGTATGCATTGCACCTTTGATCACATCATCCTGTCCAGGGACTGCAGGTGGAAATTTGCATTTTTTGCTATATCCTGGTACCATGCATCTTTCCTTGGTGTAAATTGTCTCTGTATAAATAAATAAATAAATAAATAAATAAATAAATAAATAAATAAATAAATAAATAAATAAATAAATAAAGGCATGATTTCAGTATGTGATTATTTTCATCGGGGTAAAGGAACGGCCAAACGAATAGGCTCCGCCCTGTTTTTCTTGATTGACAGATGAAGTCATTCTGCTGAAAAATGTCATTGTGAAATAAATAAGCCACTGGGGAAAATACCTTTTTGAAATAAAATAGGATTTTGTGAAAAAGACATTTTAAATTAAAAACTGCTGAAATTACATAAAAATCTCTCAATCTTTTTTTCTTAAAAAGTAAAATAATAAAATGTTCATGACCGTAACATTAGAAGTGTATTTGTATTCTGTTTTTTCAGAATTACATTGTCACATTTATATTTTTTATTTATAAAGATGTTTATTTAATAATTTTTTTTATTAATTAACTTATGAACATTTTTGTGTTCCATTTATTTATTTATTTATTTATTTATTTATTTATGGACATTTTTGTGTTCCATACATTACACTTTTTGTGGCTTTATATTTTCAGCATTGTGAAAACTTTGACCACATTTTTTATGATCATTCTATAGATTCTTTCTTGCTTTGCCAATACCTTAACATGTGATTGGATGGATGCACATTAACTGTGCAAATGCTCAGAAAAAAGGTCAACAAACATCTTCAGTCATGGCTGCAGCATCAAAAGAGTTTGCATTACACAAGTCCTTCCAAGTCGTTGCTTTTAACTGCCAACTTGTTCCACTGGTCATCCTCATGAGACTCGACTGCAGCCAGAGATCAGTCTCGGTGCATGAGGTGGGTAGAGAATCAATTTAAGCTGTCCGGGGAAACCAGTTGTTCATCAGTGAGTGAGCCAGGGGTGAAACAAGCTTTTGGGGTGTGTGTGTGGTGGGGGGGCGGGGGGGACTTTCTGGGGAATTTAGTGGACAGCTTTCAAAGAAGAGGATGAAACAGGCTGCGCACGTGTGGAACAAAATCGCATTTTACACACCGCTACAAACAGAGCTTAATTTGTCTTCCTCATTCATAATCCCTTTGGTTTGTTCGGTTTTTYGTTTGATCGTGGTGGTGCTACATGTCACACTGAGCAACACAGCAGTCACAAACTTGAGTGTTGAGTTCAAGTGAAGTTCTGCTCAAATGCTATCTTTGATATGTCTAATAAAATGCATTGCTGTTTGTTGTTTAGGGTTTGCATAAAATCTTAAAGCGTGACAGGACTGCTTCATCTCCCCTACCTAAATTAAATAAACCCTTTCCCYCAGTTTTCCTTTCACACCTCAGCACTCATTTTAATTAGCTTCCTTCTGATCTCTCTTTTTTTCTCCTTCTCTGATAACTCTTCCTCATTTCCTTTCCATTTCTCTCTCTCTCACTCATTTACTCTCATTACAGTCATTTCTCTGTGTAATTAATGAGCTGATATCTGCTTTCATGTCACAAGGGTCACAAGCTATGTGTGTGTGAGTGTGTGTGCGTGTGTGTAACCAGTATATATGAGTCATCCAGTGCTCTATTTACCGRCTCCTTCGCCTTTGTGCTCTTCTTTTTCTGCACTCGCACATAAAGAGAAAGATAAACAGGARTTGCGTGACCTTCAACACGGCAGCTAGTTTCAGCTCCGTAATTACTCTGAGAAACAAACAATGTGTACAGACAAGGGGGCACTCAACTAGACAAGAGGAAAATGAATAGCTTCTCAGTCAAACTGACACGATGACGTGATAAAATACAGTGCCTGGCCAAAAATGTTGCAAACTCTAATAATCTGTTGGACGACGTTTAGTTTTAAACGCAGCTTACTTACTTTTTGAGTTTGTTTCTGTGAGTTTAAGATTAATATCTCACAGAGTTTTGCGACCAAATGAAGTCTTTTCTAGCACATTTAAAAGACTTGGTGAGTTCAAAGTCCATTTCTCCAGTTCTTGTGTAAAAATGATAAATTTTTCCCAATAATGCTTGATACTGGCAGTGTAATTTGGAACATGAAACTATATGAAATAATATGAAACAAAACATTGTCATCTCATTGGCTCTGATGTATGAATGTTTGAGGGGAAGAATAAATGAGAGCATATAACATAACCKATATAAATATTGTTGCTAGGTTCAGACATGTAGGGGTAATTGCAGTACATATTGGGAGTGTCTTGTATTGTGGGCGGGGTTTGTCCTAGCCATGATTTGCAGAGTTTGAAATATATGTAGAGGTTCTTGAGTGTGGGCGGAGTTGGGCAAAACCATGATACGTCGGATTGACTTGTCCTGTGTGGCAAGTTAAAAGATGAAATAAATTATTTTGAACATGTAAATATAATTTATTGATGCCACCAGGCACCCTCTTGTCTCGAGTTACGATAAATAATTTTCATATTCAAAAATGGCAATTGTTTTTCAGGTGAGTTAGGGCAGTTTTACTTGAGCTAAATAGTTACACGTCCCTCCTTGTGTACGTTGTTGAAATGTCGTGAGGCTAGCACCCTTTTTGTCTCGAGTTATGACTAAAATTAATATTTATATTTAAAAAACATTGGTGTTTTATGGYCATTTTGACCAAGTTACATGCCACCCCAGCTGCCCCCCAGATTCTTCAAACTTCACCCAAAATAGTCAATCTTTAGTCATCTTTACCAAAACTCCTCCCACAGAAGTCAAACAGACCAATCATGTCTTTGACAGGACTCCTCCCACAAACAAAGAACCTCCCACTTAAGGACTGCAGAGACCACATGTTCTCCAAAGCATGCTGGGTAAATGATGACGTTTACCAGGTGTTCTGGTTTGAGGCTGCTAGCAAGCTTTATCCTCTGTAAAGGTTAATCTTGGACGTTATCTGATGATTAGTGCCTTTAAATAAAATCAGCGTGTTTACAGAGAGGAGAATGTAGAAATGAGTCAACCTGAAACTGGAAATAATGATGGAGGGCAATGGAGCTGCTTCATAGARAGAAAACTTTAGCTTTAGCATGTTAGCTTCTGCATTTGCATCCGAGCTAATCTCTATATATTGCAATATGATGTTAGCTCCCTTCAGGGTGGATAGAGCTCACAGTCTTGTACTGGAATATCTAGTAGACATCATAAATTACCCAGTATGTTTTGTAGCATCAAAAAAATGTTGCCATCCGTGTGACAATATAAATAATTTATAAAAACTAAACCTACAGTATTTGTACAATATTTGTTTTACAGTTGAAGTAAATGTCCATATCTAATGTCGCAACTTGTCACGGTTCCCTTTAAAGGGGATGCCATGTAAAATCCACTTTTTAGCTGTTCTAGCTGTTAAATACATTTTGTTGTGAAGCTATTTGGAGTCTCTAGGAGGCAGAAACGTTGAATTTAGTTTCTCCTGGTGCTGCAAAGCTAACTTTATATTCTGTTTGGGTCATATTTTTCAGCCCGTTTAGGTTTCTTTCATTTTTTTCTATGATGTTTCTGAACTATTACGTCAAATTATCTATGGCAGAATTGCCTTAATCAGTCTGGACTTACCAACTACAATTTCCTCATCTTCATTCTCCTCTGGTTCTGGGTCAGACTCTGGCTCCAACATGTGAGGTTGGACGGCCAAGTCTTCTGTTGTTGACATTTTTTAATCAAATTGTAAATAAAACATCTCTGCAAGCTAAAATAAAACGTAACCCCTTGAAGCGCATCAGTAAAAAATCCAGCTTCTTTGAGACAAACAGCAGAAAAGGGGCGGGGCTTGTTGCATTACAATAAGGTGGAATTCAGACCAAAGCATTGCAGTTCCACTTAAAAAAAACCCAACTGAATGATTCTAATGTGAAAAGGAATGATTTAAAAACATGTCTACTTTAAAGAATAAAACTTATTAAAGGGAAGCAAGTTGTTATTTTTTCTGATAACTCTTTTTTCTCTCTTTTTTTTGCCACTTTGCCATTAACATCTCCATCCCTCTCTTTCTTCCTCTCTGCCTGTCTGCTTTTCAGGTGTTGTGTCCAGGTGAGAATGGTTACCATGGAGAGGCTGTTGCTGTGCGTGATGCTGGCAGTTGCCATGGCGGTGCGGGCACAGATCTGCCCGAAGCGCTGCGTCTGTCAGATTCTGTCACCCAACTTGGCAACCCTCTGTGCAAAGAAAGGTCTATTGTTTGTACCTCCGAATATTGACCGACACACAGTGGAGCTACGGCTGGCTGACAACTTTGTCACAAGGTGAGGATCGGATCAGTTTTCACAGTTTTCCATGTTTACAGCACAACTTCTGCTATTACTAAAATGCCAACCGAGATTAATGAGTTGGTGGAGATGTACCAAACACTACAACCTTTATAACATTAAGAAAATAATTAGATCAACTATTTTTCATGATGATTGTTTTGGAAAATAAATAAAAAAAACAGGTGATTTTCCATAATAGCATCACATTATGTTGATAATAAAGAAAACACAGTGTTCTTAATCAAAGCACCAACTAATAATGAATTTCAACACATAACTAAGTTAAACTTTGAGGAGCTGATATTTGCATTTATTTTTAGATCTGTAGAGCTCCAAGATGTAAATATATTTAATAAACTCTGACATGTTTGTGAAGRATTCTCACAACACCTAAAAAGAAACAACATATTCAGTGTTAATGTGTGAGAATGAGCAACATTTCTCCCAAATTGGCTGAAGATAAGCTAATGGATGATGTCAGGAGGTGACAACCCAAAGATCCTTCTGGTGAAGATGAAACGATAGCAGAGTATTTGAACAGAAGGATTCCTTCAGTAAACATAGAGGCGTGTCATCCTCTGCCTCTGGAATGAAATAAAGCTCATTTGATTTGTTTTATTTATTATTATTATTTTAAGATAACGAAGTTCTAAAGTACAATATGTGGGATATGGTCATTAAAATGTTATAAACACAACTTTTCTTAATTTTTTTTAAGCTGGCCTTCCATTTTAATGAAATACCAATGCAAGTGATATTCACTTGTGCCTTTTTTGAATGAGAATTGTCTGTAAAATATCAACTTTCTTTATTTTAACTGTAATTTTTTGTGTTGACAGTGTWAAAAGAAAAGATTTTGCAAACATGACACGACTGGTGGACCTGACGTTATCCAGAAACACCATTTCTTACATCACACCTTATGCCTTTTCTGACCTGGAAAATCTCAGAGCGCTGCACCTCAACAGGTACGGACCCACGTGATGGAAAGCTTCCCACCGTTTTACTGGAACGTTTTARAAWTTATTTTTTATTTCTTCAATCTTTCCCAGTAATCGCCTGACAAGAATAGGGAACGATACGTTCAGTGGGATGTCGAAGCTTCACCACCTGATCCTGAACAACAACCAGCTGGTGCTGATCCATCAGGGAGCGTTCAATGACCTGCTGGCGCTGGAGGAGCTGGACCTCAGCTACAATAACCTGGACTCCATTCCATGGGAGGCCATTCAGGTCAGCTTGCACCACTTTCAGGCTGGATGGCTAAAAGCTAAGAAAGAAAAAATCACTGTAAACACATACAAATAACATTTAAGGTCATTTAAATAGTATTAAATTTAATGTGTTAGGGTTTTGTGTCARTTAGTAAAACCATACTCCATTACCACATTTTAGAAGTAGGCAATTGAAGACAAAAGTGTCAGATAAAAGAGATAATTATACTTTTTTACAAGTCTGACACGTTCTGTGAAATAAAATGTAAAAGGTTTGAAAGTTTCATAAATGGGACTCATCACATCAACTTGATGATTAAGCTGCAAGTGGTGTAGTCAGAGATCTAAGATGGTGTAAGCATTCTTTGTTTTGGAAAGTTTTGAAAATGATTTTTCTCTAAACATGATTATTGTGGATGCTCCTGATTCAAACACTCTAACTATTGTAAGAAAATACATGTTCAAAAGACTGAAGTCAATATGAAAACCACCACTGTTAAATAAAATGATTTGTAGAAGGAATGAAAACCATCCAACACCAGAATTCTGGAACCGAGTTTTATTGCCACCGGAGCTGACAAGGAAAACCACACTGCCCAAAAACGAGGAAGTATATCCATTTATACATGGTCTTCAATGCCCGCGTCCGCCCCCTACTGACCTACGGCTGAATCACAGGCATTCAGACAAAATTCTCACCTACTGTTCTCATAACGGTTGATTATGTGTTGTTTATAATTCGGACATGTAACTAATCTATATCAATCAAAACATAATAGATTAAGCATCGTCAACATTATAAAAAGGAATACCTAAAATTATAGTTTTGTGCTTTTAACATCAGTACTAACCTGTAATAACTATAAATTTCTTCACTATTTTATCTCTCCACATGGCCATGCTCAATTTGTTCATAAAATGCACACAAAGTTCTGAAATGGCCCTATATTGAAGTTTCACAAAYCAAATATGTTTCATAAATCACACGCTTGRTTTTAAATATTCTGCARTCAGTGTAAAACAATCTAGTCCAGGTTTTGCAGTGTTTATGTGTTTTAGTTTTTAAACTAGAACAGATTAAATAGGCTCAAGGTTGTGAAAAAATAGTGGAATTGCCCTTTAACCACGAAAACTTCAGTTTTTTTCTTGTGAATTTCTCACTTTACTATGTCAGAAAATATTAAGTTTAAATATCAAAGATTTTTGCTTTTAATCATTTTTATTTATTTATTTATTTAATTATTTATTTATTTGCAAAAATTATGACTTTTGGAGCTTGGATAATTTTCTTGTTTTTTTTCTTAGAAACTTCTGAAATTAACATAAAAAATTAAGCAGCGATTTACTTATCTTTTTCATCTGCAAAATAGTCTTAACACATCATAGTAGAGATCATCCCGCTGTAATGCACTGGTAGAAACATTTTCAATAAATTAATTTGATAAATAAATACCTTATTTATGGGCATCTTGAAGGAAATGAACAAAATATAACCCTAAGGAATGTTTTATAGCACAGAAAAAAACGKAATTTAGGTCAATTTTTAGGCATCTTCTTGTTCAGCAACACTTATTAAAACACTCAGTATCTMTGGATCACGATATCATGATATCTGGGTGTCAACATGTGCTCAGTTTATTTGGACAAAATCCAATTTACTTCCTGATTTAATGTGATGGGTCACACATGTTGTTCTATGTCTCCATATTCATTTATCAGCAACTGTAATCCGATGTTTTTTAAGCTATAAACCATCCTTTATGAAAAAAACCAAGCTTTGAAAAAAAGTCTGATTTTCTCTTTTACTTGTGCAGAAAATGACAAGCCTCCACACGTTGAGTTTAGACCACAACATGCTGGATTTTATTCCAGAGGGAACCTTTTCCCTTCTACAGAAACTCAACCGGCTGGATGTCACCTCTAATAAACTTCAAAAGCTACCACCAGACCCACTCTTTCAACGGGCGCAGGTACTTTTACAAGTTCACTCTAAAAAATTAACACATTTCTACTCAAAAATCAGAGAAAAACCTGCCTCACTGCAGTTAGTAGCTGGATTTGAACAAACCGTAAATGCGTTGGTTAGTTTGTTGAACACATTTTCCTACACTCAGGTCTTGGCGACATCAGGGATCATGAACCCCTCTTCCTTCGCGCTGTCGTTCGGTGGAAACCCTCTCCACTGTAACTGTGAGTTGCTCTGGCTGAGGAGGCTGAATCGAGAGGACGACTTGGAGACTTGTGCCACTCCGCAGCATCTTTCCGGTCGATACTTCTGGTCCATCCCTGAAGAGGAGTTCCTCTGTGAGCCTCCTCTGATCACAAGATACTCCCACGAGATGAGGGTCCTCGAGGGACAGAGAGTTGCACTCAGGTAGACATTTTATCAGACAGGAATAAAAATCCAACAAAAACAAGCTTTTTTGATGAGTTACTTGTTTTCATTATCAGACAAGTGCATTTAACCTGACTGACACACTGAATATAAAAAGCCGTGCTGCTCAAAAACACACAAGTCAGTAACTTTGCACAAAAACATTCAGAAGGACAAAACTACATGAAAACAAGAAGTCTGGTAGATGATGATTGCTTCATTTGCATATATATTGGTCACACACTTCCAATTCTGATAAATGCGTTTCCAAATATGGAAATATGAAAATTAGGAAAGTAGGACAAAGAAAAATAAATGTGATCCGTTTTATATTCTTTCTTTTTCTTATCTTGTCTGCATTGGGTTATTGGAGGGTTTTTGTGTAGACTAATAATGGTCAACTCATCAACATTTTTCTTTTTTGAGGTGTTTATCTCATGTATTATACAATTGCAAAAAGACCATCAGATGCTAAAAATACTTGTTAATCTGATCACCATCATTTTTACATGCAACATCTCTAAAATGATGGTTTTGTTGTGTTTTCACTTTTTTAAAATAAGCAATATCTTGCTTGTAAAAGTCGTAATTCTTTCTAACTGATTACTTCAATGAATGCAATTTGATAATTTTAACTTTACTTTTATTTTATCTAAGC